AGAAAGGACTTTTGTCGCTAAAGTTTCGTCAGAACGAATTTACGGAAAATTAAGTAACGAACGGAGACGTAACAATATGGAAAATGAATTATCAAATGCAAAGACTAAACCAGGCACATCTCTTTCTGCGCCATCTTAAGGATTCCAGCCTGGGACATCCTCTATTACAAAATAAGAAATAACAGAACATTTTTGGTCTGAACATAGTAGTGATAATAGTTGCAGTTTCTATGATTCTCATGGTACCTTCTCATTACTGTCCATGGGTTTTCCTATTGGCTCATGGTGAAATAGCCAGCTAAATTCTAGTATTAGAGTTGGTAGTTTCATGGATGGAGTAACCCAAAAGATTTGGAATGTTACAACAGAAAGAAATATACAGAATTAAGTTCCAAAAATAATAGAAAGAAGAGACCTTAGTCAAACTTGATTTTGAAAGACTTTTCCAACTATCTTTCTTGGACACTCCTTGTAAGATGGTGGATTACTTGGCATGCGATCAATTTATAGATGCCATAACAGACGAGAATATGAGAATTAGACTAAAGCAGAGTAGTTGTACATCTATGAATCTCGGCAGTTGGCAATGGATCTAGAATCCGTTAAGGTTGTAGTTATACAACTAAAGACGCCTTCTCGAAGTTATAGGATTATCAGATCACGTAATATTTATATACTGATGATAGCTTAGAAGAACTAAAAGAATTTGTTACACTTTTTTTATTACAGAGAATGGATGGAGTAAACCATGTCAACACATGGCCCAAAAAAACAGTTAACATTACTTTATCTTAGTCACTTTGTTTCTTGTTTTCTTTGGTAGGTGACATCTTCTCTACCTGCAAGGATATTTTATCGTTAGATGAAGCATCCGAGTTGAACAGGTAAGAACTGGAATATTCTTTGCTGACTGATTATGAAATTGATAGAAAGTGACAGCTGACCAATGCTGTCAGGGAACAAAGGTCACGTTGTGACCCTGTCCATTGGACAAAGAAGGCGAGTCTAAATTCTAAATCTGAGCACACTTTCTTTGTTCAGTTCTTCATAAGTCGATCTATGGAAAGGACTTGCTTTTGTTGAAGATCACTAAATTTGGTTCTGTGACACTCAATATTGAGAGAAAGAAGGCAACATGACTCAATGCTACATTGAGGAAAAGAGGACTGTCCGGATATATGCACTGATATTCTTTTTGTTTTCAAAATAAAGGTTTTTTTCTCTTGTTTACAAAGTGTTCAACTTCATTATTTTCGTTCTAGTCAAGTTATATAGTGAGTAATTGATCTGCGGTCGGAGTATTATTGACGTTCGTTGCTATAGCGTTTGTTTAGCGCGATTGTTGAAGTTGAGTGTATCGGTTAAGTTATATTCGGAAAGAATAAACCAGTTTTATTAAGTAAAGACTTGTGTCGCTTAAGTTTCGTCGGTACGAAGTTAGGGAGAGTTAATTAACAAACGGAGACGTAACAGTATCTAATAATTTTAATATTTGGGTTTTCTGTCTAATTGTGGTATTGGCAAATAAAACCTGTTTCCCAACTGTTGTTAAATAGAAGAATCCACAATAATATTAGAGGTCACGCAGGAGCACTCACACATTACATTCCCCTCTTTTATATACCAGCCTAACCTATATCTAGTAAGAACTAGAACATTCGCCAAAGTACATGATAGTTCTAGAAACGTTGCGTCACAGTAGTCATGTGACTCGATGACGCAACAATACTAAGAATTAGTTCTCGCAGAAGTACACTGGTTATCTTACAGTACAAACATGCGCACAGAGTGATTATAAAGAAGACATCAGTCAAAATAATTAAATATTAAGAAATACTTATCCTAGAAGTACAATGATCATCATACAGAATAGTGATTATAGAGAAAATACCAAAGTTAAAATAATTAAATAATGAGAACTACTTATTCTAGTGGAGCTGAATTCAATCAGAAGCACATTGAGTAGCATAAGTTTAGACGAAATATAGAGTGTTTTAACAGCTGTCATATGTATCCAATAAATCTGTAATTCTATCCCTTAATAATTTTCTCCCAGTCGGACAGTGGTAAGTCTATGCATTTACAACGCGAAAATCAGGGGTTAGATTCCTCTCAGTGGACACAACAAATACCCCATTGTGGCTTTGCTATGAAAAAACACACAAATACACTCTTAAATATTTACACATAATCTACTTCAGATTGATTCTGACAATATCTGGTACACTAACACATATCTTATTCAAATCGCCAATCTTGTACTGTTGAAGAAAAGGAATAAAATTAGCACTAGTTTGCTAAAAAAAAAGAAAAAAAGGGATTTAGGTATGCAGTACGGTTATGGTTTTGATGCACGCATTGAATGTTCAGACTTTTCTGAATAAAACCAATGGCTCTCAATATGCCTTTAGGGAAACTGTTTTCTTGGGACAAGTCGTTCTTAAGGTATATTTCGTCATTTATAATAAGGAGTTTTCTTTATAATTCTTTTGTTGTATATATATACATAGATAAAGAATAAAAAACACCAATAGATATACATGGATGTTAGCAAATTGAATACTGGGACTAAAAGGCTGTAGAGAGGGTTGAGTCCATTTTGCGAATCTCCACTTAAGATCATTTACTTCACTTAGCCATTCCAACCTCCATTTATTCTTATTGTTGCGTCAGCGAGTCACATGACCACGTGACGCAACGTTTCTAGAACTATCATGTACTGTGGCGAATGTTCAAGTTCTTACTAGAAATATGGTTCGCTGGTATATAAAAGAAGGTAATGTAATGTGTGTGTGGTCAATGAGTAATTGAACTGCAGTCAGAGATAGACGTATTGTTGTAGTTAACGTTCGTTCGTTATTATAGTTTGTTATAACGCGACTGTTGAGAATAAGTGTATCGGTAAAGTTGTATTCGGAAAGAATAAACCAGTTTTATTAAGTAAAGAACTTGTGTCGCTTAAGTTTCGTCGGAACGAAGTTACGGAAAATTAATTAACACACGGAGACGTAACATTATTATTTTTGCGCTCCATTACATTGGTACGTGTCTCTAATAGTTACATTCTGCCATAGTTTGACAGAAAACTTTAACAAAAAATTGACCTTAAAAATTTCTCCTTTGACAAAATTCCGTCTGTACATGGAAAATTAACACACACAGTCAAATTGACGTAGTCCATATGGAGAGATATAACATGTGGCAATGTTGATAAACAGTCACTATTGCAAGCTTACTAACTCCAGAAATATCTACTTTCAGTTTATATAGCCCTTAAATTACAGCCACGCCATCTGATTGAGGATTATATGGTGCAATTCAGATATACACAACACCCCAATACACCTCGCTAAACAGCAAATTGTTAAAATCTGCTCTTTGACTTTTTTGTATTACTTCTGGTGCTCAGTATGTACTTTGTTCAGCTATCCTATCAGCCAGTGACTGTGCTGAAATAACAGTTAGTGGACAATCCTTTATTTAATTGGTAAAGTAATAAATAAAGATGAGCACACACTTATTGTTACCAATTGCTTTACCATTATTCATTCCTAGGAGTAGACTGGTTATTTCCAGGGCTATTTTCCAATACAATACAAAACCTTTTCTCACATATAGCTTTCCCGATTCAGTGCTGTCCTCCATATGCTAACTTTTTCGCTCGCTACTAGCCTTGAGGTCCCCACCTAATTTCTAGCATTTCCATATGATATTTCTGTAATGTTGCATGCTGGTGAGCATGCAATAGCTCTTCACCAACATCCTAATGCAGCTGGCTCCCTCTATACTTATGTTCAATCATCATTTTTCGATTTGGCTCTCGTGTGTTAAGACGCATGTTTTTGGGATGCATGAGATTTCTCAACATTTACATTTGGTTGAAATATCTACAAAACTAAGTGTTGTGGAAATATATTTTGTTTTTATTTTTAAACAATTCTGCCTCTGCAGACTTTATGGGTCTTATTTTCCACGATTTGAATTATACATAGTTGAGCTTTTCCACATTGTCTAGTGTTGAACATCTGGACCTTGTTCATTTTACACAAACCACCACCATGGTGTTGGGTGCTTTTTTGTCTGTCAGGGGATGTGACATCTATTATGCAGTGGGTGGTAAAGTATTGCAAGAGGACTGGGTCTTTTTCGGGCCTTGATACAGACTTCTCTCCTCCTCCAATTCCCTTGTGTGAGGAAGTGAATTTTAGTCTTTTTCCCATCACCTAAATTTGCAAACAATTCTTCAAGTGCAGACTTGGATCTTCCTCAACATTGTGTCCTTCCATGATTTTTCTTTTCGGGTATGTTACCTTTTTTAACTCTATCTTCTTTCTTACCCTTTACAATCTCTTCTTCAGAATATTGTTTTTCTTCATTACCCTGATAGAAGTGTTCATAATGAATTTTGTTTGTCTCAACTTTACTTTGGTGCTGGTATGCCTTGCCCTTCTTAACTGGTTGCACATATACTTTGACTTACAATTGAGCTGAAGCCTTTTCTGGGACCCCCAAACTATCAAGTCTCTTCTTCAGGCTTGGGGTTCTGATTCATTGTTCTCTGTAAGTATTTCTTGTCTCTGCATTACACTCACTACACTTTTACATTATGTATCCTCCATCCATATCCTTTTGGAAACAACCCACCATTACTCTGAGGGGCTTTCATCAGACACTCATTCCCTTCCTTTTTTTATTTCGACATGTTATTCTTCCTTGTCCCTTCTCACTTGGTTACTCTTTTTCCAGGATTTGTTGGTTAGGGATGCCCTTCTTGCCCAAATACATTTACCTCCCTCTTATATTAGGGACCTTCCCTTGGCCCCTTGGTGTGGTACCTGATTCTTTGTAATCATGGTCTGAAGCTGCATGCCAACATTTCTCCTTGACTGCCATTGTGATCAATCTTTCCCAAACTCCTTCTCTTCCAGTTGCTGTCTCCTGTCCTCCCGACACCTTTCTGCTCCCTGTTCCTCTTCTCCCATCCATTATTCTATTATCTACAGGTTTCAGTGCTGACAATTTCGTTGGTGACTATCTTCTGGGCTTAGAAACAGTGAGGGCCCATTTATGGATTTCTTTTATGGCCGATTATTGGGGTTACAGGTTCTATCTGTTGGCTTTACCTTTCGTCTTCTTCTCACTCCTTTGTCTTCTCGAGGGGATCCTATCTCCTACCAGCATCTCTCTGAGGCAGTGTCAGATCTTTTGACTAAGGATGCTATTGAAAGGTTTCTAACCCTTTTTAATAATTTTCTTCACGTCTGTTTATCATTCCCAAGTACACAAGGATTGGCGTCCAGTCATCATTCTGTCGCATATCCATCAGTTTCTCGACCTTCCACAATCTACCACGATGAGTTGTCTCACTCTCAAATGGCCTTTTTCTCTGGTGGTTTTGGATGACCAAGGTCGGTATCTCTGATGCTTATCTTCACATTCCCATCTTCCAACCACCTAGACTTTATTTTCAGTCTGTACATCACAGTCGAGTTTATGAGTTCCAAGCTCTTCTTTCTTGCCTGGTGTTGGCCCCATACATATACTTTGGTCACGTAGTGTATACCTTCGAGTGTCACATTCACAGCCTGATATTCTACCATTATACGAACAACTGTCTTCTTTTAGCTCCATCCCAAAAGGATTCCTCCAAACATAATATTCTCCTTCTTTGGGAGGTGACTTGTCAGGCTGGAAAAGTTTCATCTTACACCCATCCAGTATCTGGTTCATTCAGGTGTGTTCTTCACTTCCCATCTCAGCAGGGCACAGCCTTCTCTGCTGCATTTGTGGACCATGGAGGGTTTGGTTTATACAGCTTTATCCTCTCCTTTTCTTCTGCATGAGAGGTTCTCTATCAATTAGCGACTTGGGCTTCCTTGGAACCCCTTCTCCCCTAGGGTTGTGCTCACATGCGTCTTTTATTGTGGACTGTAAACAATCGATGGAACCACTATCAGAATCCCATTTCTAGAGTGGTCCCTCAATCCTTGTTTTTTGAAGGATTTGCTCTCGTATTGACACTCCTTACATCGATGCCTTTGCCACTTAGGACAATGCCAAGCTTTCCATATTCGATTCTACTGTTCCACATGCACTGGTGGTGGATGTATTCAGTCAGGAATTGTTTGATCTCTTCTTTTGTTCTTCCCCGTATTCGGTTCCTGCCTTGAGTTCTCTCCCTCAGTTAGGACACTTCTTGATGGGTCCTTTTGGTGATACCCTATTGGCCAGTCCAATCTAAGTTTTTTTCTGCTGAGTCTTCTGATTTCCTTTTCATCCTGTACCTCTCTTTTCAATCCATCCATGTCAATACTGACTTCATGCATGGGATTTGTCTGGTCCTTTGCAGGACTGTCAGTACTTCAAGTGTATCCTTCTTCTTGTCCCATTATGTTTGTTCTTCCTCCTCATAAGTTTATCAGAGGAAGTGACATACTTATCAGCACTGGTCTTGGCATTGTTACTTCTCACCTTCTGTTCTCAGTCTATCTGTGTTATTATCATAGTTTTTCGACCAGGGCTGATGTATTTTGACTTTTGCTGGTTCTCAAGTGGCTCTTTATTACTTTCCAATTTCCCATTATGTCGGTTGTTTTCCTCCCTGTTCTTCTAGCCTATCTAACTGGGTCCTTAATATTGTTCCCCATGCCATAACTTTACCTCATTTTGAACATTTGGCTTCCTCTTCCATACATTATCTGTCCATTAAAATTTATTTCCTCCTCCTTATCACCGTTGGTCGTCAGCATTTTGATGTGTACACCATTGATTCTCCTCTTTTTCACACCGTTTGCCTCTAAAAAGTCTGAAGTGTGTAGGGTGATAGTGTATTCACTCCTATCTTTCTTCCTTCCATACCTATCTTTATTCCCATTCGGATCACGATTGGCTCCTCTGTCCAGTTCATGTGGCCCACACTTTTTCATTTTGCGTTTCATCCACTCACGATCTTTCTTCTGTTACACACACTGGATGGGTCCAACAGCTTATCCATTTAGTGTATTCTTCATTGAATGGAGAAGCATGCCAGCATTTCCAGGTGTCCTCCCATCCAATTCGTCACCTAACTCAATCATTGGCTGCTCACTTCCACCATTCATTGGGGAAGATTGCTTGGGCTGGCATGTAGATGATCACTCATACTTTTATTACTGATTTTTCCTCGTCAGGCTATGAACTGGCTCCAGTTGTTATCTTTCACACTTCATATTGTCTTTGACTGGTTCTTTCTATTTCTTACTCTCTTTTTACAGAACACCCTAGTTTCTTACAGGATCGTGCTCAGCAGCGAGTGTTGCCTGCCCATGTATACATAACCAAAATCTGAACAATGTAGGGCCATCTTGGCCCAATATAGTACTCACCCATGAGATGGGGTGTTCCACAAGACCACTCAAGGTATCCTCATTGTGCCCCTTTTCATAAGCAAGATGCAATACAGACTATACCCACTCATGAACTAGCAAGAATAAAGTAGACAGGGGATTCCTGCCCATCCTCCATGCCTAGTTTAAGACCTAGTGCTAGCCTGCTTTTAAACATTAGGTTTTCGTGGTCACCCATTTCACTGTATTATGGTGAAGTGCTCCTCTGGACTCCCCACCACACTTTCATTCCCCTTTTTTCTTCTAGTGGAGCAAAGGAGTCATTGCCACTTACCAGTTCCTAGCAGTTGGGGTAGTAGACCATGGAGAATGCCTATTGAGTGTGACCAACTCCATTCAGTAGAAAGTAGGGCAGTGGTGTTCCATCTGTGTAGTACAGTACACCCACCTGGGCAGCTTTTCCCATCCTACCATTACCCAGAAGTCGAGTTCCTGGGTAATCTGGTGTAAGACGAGCCAACATAAGTCCTCACTCAGTTTCAGGGCAGATGTTACTTTCCTTTTCTGCTTGTGAATATGGTAGGGACCCTCCTTCTACTGCTGCCTGGAAGCTGAATTCCCAGTGACACTTTGTTTTGGATTGGAATTGATCCACCACATATGATCTGATATACCCTAGCCACACTACACATATAGCACTTCCAGAAGCCTGATGCAAGTTTTAGACTCTTCTTGAATGTTCCACCACTTCCCTCCTATCCTCATGGAGTGTACCCTATACTGTTATAAGATGTCATGCTCCATTGGTTTTCTTTCCAAAGGGGACTCGTTTAAGTAAAATCTTGCACTGGTCTGTTCACCACTTTAACGTAGGATTCTATCTAGATATGAGTGAAGTTACATATCTTATTAGAAATTAACATTGTCCAACACTGAAAACATATTTCCGATAGATACATCTGGTCATAGTTTCCACACTTTCTCCTCAATTCTGGTGCATCTTATTTTCTTATCTAGCCTCGAAGTGATGAGAAAAAAATCAGCATAGAGGGAGCCAGCTGTGGTGTTGCACTTCTATTGGTGGAGGATTATAACATGCCCATTTGCATGCAAAATTATTACATGGATACATGTGAGATTAGGTGAGAGCCTCAAGGCTAGCGGTGAGCAAAAAAGTTCACATACAGAGGGTAGTACTGGACCGAAAAAGCTAGATGTGATAAGTGGTATCTATCATAAATACATTTTCAGCTGGAAAATGTTAACTTCTGTAATGGATGGCTTAAACATCTCTGTTGCTAGCCTTTTCTCAGATTGTTACAGCTTCTCCTTACAGGAAGGTGTGAAAAATCACTCCTTTTATTATGTAAGGTTTGAAGAATCTCCTATCTCAGGGCCACTAATTGCATCACAAGAAGGGATCTATGACTTAGCCACAGTATTACACAATATTTCCAGTTTATAATTCTTCACACAAGTAACACAGTTAGGCACATTAATGTTACATTCACTGGTTAGTAAAGCCCCCATGCTTCAACTTGTTGTACAGCAAGATATGCTGGGACTTTAACTGTACCTTCCTAAGGCTATCCAAATGATGCAATACAGTTGAGTTTTATTCTTGCAATATTGTTATTCAATGTGCAAGCACACCATCAGGATACTTCACCAGCCACTTCAGTGATGCTCTAATAGCAAAAACTCTCCTCCGTATATATATATATATATTCATTGTTATTTAACAAATACTGTATCTGCACTTTGTTGTACTGTAATGGCATCCAACAGCCAATGTATGACTAATGCATGCAATTACATGCTCTATGATATCTTCAAATGGCAAAATTGAATTTTGGATAAGACAACACTGATGTATCAATGAAAGCATATTTTATTCACTGGAATGACTGCTTATAGTTTATAGTACACTTAGATTATGATTCAGCTTGAAACAATTAAGTCCAAATTGTTGCCAATATTAAACAAAACCTTAAAAAATGTCAAACTGCTCTTCTATTTGTAGACTGGGGCCAGTCTTAGCAATATCAGTAGCCATCACTACCAAGTACATGCCTAATAAATCCTACTTAGGTACACATTTTTATCATCTTCAGCTTCCATCCTTATATGCTGAAATACCATATTCAGTTTCTCAGCAGTGGTCTGAAATGTGTGGATAAACAGCACTAGAATGTTACCCAAATATATATTAGACATCTTTCCCACTGAAAGCGATGTCATGCAAGTTCCAACAGTCACTCAAAAGTGGCTGGTACATTACACAGGCTGAATGACGTGACACAAGGTACATGTAGCTTATTACCAGTATTGAAACTAATCTCACATGTACTTGCATTCTCTAGTTCTACTTGCCAATGTTCATATGTAGTCTAAAATACTAAAACAATAAAGTACTCTGAAGTATCTCACCTGTTTGAGTGTAGGATCATGTTAAATTATGTCTTACTGCTTTGGTCAAACAAAATGATCCAGAGTTATTAAAGGCATCACAATTGTATGTATTCCACTTCTGTAGAGTGGTGTGTCACCAGTGAACATATTTCTGTCCTGCTTCCAATTTTATGACAGAAACTGTGATATTATCAAGCAGCCTCTTCCCACAGAAAGGAATATTGCCAATCCAAGTTTAATTGCTTGGCAAACATAATTTCCATGTCTGAATTGAGAGCTGAATGACTCTTACTGGTAGAAGTAATTAACATATATACTTCTTCAACCTGTTCACTGAACTCTAATCCCTCAGCAATGGGGATCAGATAGCT